GTTGTGTGATCATGAGCTGTCAATGGGGTCAGGCATCAGGTAGCTAAGACCCAGAATGCGGCATCAATGACTCTGAGCTCACTGCCTTGCAGCCTGCTCTGGGCCAGTGCTTCCAGCTCACCACCTTGATGTTAGGTGGAAACTCAGTCTCCATGGCTGTCCTGCAGGGCCTGCTTGAGCACACTTGTCCACTGTGCAAGTTCTCCCTTCCGGGGCTTCCTCAGCAATGCTCTAAGGATCGCGGGGGTCATCTGTATCTGGTTACTCTTTTAGAGGCTTTGCGGGAGCTCAGGATGACCCTGGAATCCTATGGGCCCCTCTCTGTAAGATTCTCTCCTAGCACAGTTCAGAGAACTTGGGATGAAATCATCATACATGTGGAAAGCGAATGTGATCACCCTCTTTACCAATTCTAAGTTCTGCTTCTGTTTTACCACCTCACTTATAAGACATTCTTATTTATTATGCTCACAAGATTATTTGCCGTTAGGTTCCAGAGGATTAGGTTGTCTTTGCAATGACAGTGTGCTCATTTGGAGTAGAAGACTCCAGGAAGCATCTGACATTCACAGCCTTACCCCAGTCATTCCTTGTTGGCTGCACATCTCTTCTACAAGACATGAAAAGAGAGGCCAGCAGACAGGAAACACTGACAGGAGCAAAGCATGTCCTGGCAACCCAAGATCCCTGCCCTGGGAACCTTATCGACTCAGAGGAACGTGGATGCCAACACTCATGGAATCTCCAAGGAATGCACACAGATGTTGACAGGAGACCAGTCCCTCCCACTGCAAGACAATCGACTGACAAGCTTGCACATTCATGCCTAAGCTTCTGTACACTAACATACCTTGCCTAAGATAAAATAAATGTCTAATTGTAAACCCATCCACTTGCAGTATTTAGTTCTCTTCTACCCAGAATATAAAATGTATGTGTTCTTGAATTGGGTTCTGTGCCCTCGAACAAACAGAAATGCACATAGAAGGATGTCCGTTTGGGAACTGTGTCCACCTATTAATCAGTAGTTGGAGGCTTCAAAACCACTACTTTCTACAATGGAGAACAAAGAGAGTCTGCCCCCATAGAGACACAGAGCATTGTTAACCAATATAGCTCATTCTGCCCTGAGTTAAAATGGAATGAACCCCATCGGGCAAAAGCAGCCTGGATTTGCATCACACCCACCTAAATGATGATACAATTACTTCTGGTTGGTGATGCTTCCTTCCATCATGAGAGCATTTGAGAATTAAGTCAGTGTACTGGACCCTTCTCCAGAGGTCAACCTTTGAAACGCTCCCAATGTGACCCGTCATCCCTGATATGCTCTAGAGACAAACAGTTGAGGCGGTATGTTTGGTAAAGCACTGGGGTGTTTACCACCAGGTCAGCCGGCCTGTGGGGCTTGATGAGACCATCTACTCCTGGGGAGATCGACAGTCCTTAGGAATTCAAAGAGGCATTTCGACTCTTTCCCATACGTCGGCTCTAAGTTGGAAGAGACACAGTACAAGTAATTTTGTGCCTTGGGAAATTAATTACACAGATAAATATCCATAAGGACAAAACCCTGTTGCAAATATGAGATTCCGGGATCCAGAGCCATTTTTGTAACCAATTACTTAATCCACTGTCAGCAGCTAACACACTCCTCAAAGTTTTCCACATTCTCTCAATCACAGTGGGTAAGGGGTGATGGCTGAGAGTTTGTGTCAACAGGGCTGGGTCGGGATTCTCAGGGATTGGTTCATTATGATGGCATCAGCATGGTTGATGGGATTTCATAAAATGCCATCAATTCCAAGCTGAGACCTACTGTGAACAGCCAATGAGGGGGAAGATAGCTATCTTGTGGGCGTGGTCTTATGATTTAAAAGGACTCTGAAAGCTCGGTAGCTTTGTTCTGGACCTGGACCCTTCATCTGTCCTGAAAGTTTGGGGACTCGGGACAGAATCCTGCCATCATTCCTGCTTCTCTGGACGTTGTCAGTCTCAACACCCTTGAGGAAGAAGTCTGCCGTTGGACCTGCCATCTGGGATTCATCATCCACTGGATCTACTTGATCAAGGGTCAGAGTCAAGACTGAAATCAGAGCCTTGTCAGCCTCTGCAACTGTGAGTTGAAATGGGGAGTAGCGTGAAAACTCTCTAACATGGTTCTGAGGAGCGATGTGGGGAGGGACCTAGACGTTGGGGGGTGGGGTTCCAAGCTTGGCTCTCCCGGAGGCCTATGGGAAGTGAATGCCTCCAAAGTGTTGCCATTCTTGCCTCAAAATAGCACTTTGGCCATGTGTGCTAGCACAGTGCATCTCAAGCGGGACTATAGGGGATGGATAGTTACAAGCCATTACAGAATTGATCCATACCTTAAATCACTGAATCTGAAACTGATAATTTCAAGGATAAATCACCACTGATTCACAATCAAGAATCAATTCACAACAGAAAATAAAAAAGAATTATTTCTATTATGTGTTCTGAGACAGACTAGCAGTAGCCACAGAATGCCATCTTGTTGGCTGCTGAATGACCTGTCACCTTCACCCTCCCATCACGGATAGTCCAACTAGTGATTGGTTTTTGTTTTTTTTTAATCATTTTATTGTGTACTCATACAGCTCTTATCCAATCCGTCCATCCATCCATTGTGTCAAGCACAGTTGTATATTTGTTGCCATCATCATTCTCAAAACATTTGCTTTCTACTTGAGCCCTTAATATCAGCTCCTCATTTTTCTCCCTCCCTCCCCGCAACCACCTCCCTCATGACTCCTTGATAATTTATACATTATTATTGTTTTGTCGTATTTTACATTGTCTGACGTCTCCCTTCACCAATTTGTTGTCGTTTTCCCAGGGAGAAGGTTATATGTAGATCCTTGTAATCGGTTCCCCTTCTATACCACATCTTCCCTCCCCCCTCCCAGTATCATCACTCTCAGCACTGGTCCTGAGGGATCATCTGTCCTGGTTTCCCTGTGTTTCCAGTTTTGTAAGGTAGAATTGGGATCATGATAGTGGGGGAGGAGGCAGCATTTAGGAACTAGAGGA